CCACGCCGGGAGCTCAGGTGCCACCGCGGGTCCTTTATTGGGGGGTCGGGGGGACATTGGGGACCCCCCCCGAGCTGTCCCCCCCCTCGGGACCCTCCCCCTCCTGTCCCCTCCCCCTCAGTCCCCCAGGCTGCGGAACGCCGCCACCATCTCCTCGTGCAGCCGCGCGAAGCTCGCCAGGATCCGCTGCTCGCCGTCCTTCACCGGGTCCTGCCCACGCGCGGACACGGGGGCGACACGCGGGGGTCACCCCCGGAACCCCCCGGGTCACCCACACTGAGATTCGCGTGGGACCCCCCCAAAAAAATCCACCAGAGAGCCCCAAACGGGGTCACAGCCCCCCCGTTCTGTCACAGGGGACACGGGGGGACACGGGGCGACACGGGGGGGACACCCCCAGAGCCCCCCGTAACCTCCCCCGGGACCCTTCCCCGGGGGTCTCATCCCCCAAACCCCTTTAACCTCCCCCAGGACCCCCAAAACCCCTTTAACCTCCCCCAGGACCCCCAAACCCCCTTTAACCTCCCCAGGACCCCTCCCCGGGGGTCTCAGCCCCAAATCCCCCTTTAACCTCCCCGGGACCCCCAAATCCCCCTTTAACCTCCCCGGGACCCCCAAACCCCCTTTAACCTCCCCGGGACCCCTCCCCCGGGGGTCTCATCCCCCAAACTCCCCTTTAACCTCCCCCAGGACCCCCAAATCCCCCTTTAACCTCCCCAGGACCCCCAAATCCCCCTTTAACCTCCCCCGGGACCCTCCCCCGGGGGTCTCATCCCCCAAACCCCCTTTAACCTCCCCGGGACCCCTCGCCGGGGGTCCCTGCCCCCCGCGCCCCCCACCTGGAACTTCATGGCGCTCAGGCGGTACAGGATGTCGCCGAGCCCCTCGCGGATGGTGGCCCAGGTGACGCGCCGCTCCTCGGGGCCCGCCGCCTCCACCGCCCCCCGCGCCAGCTCGTAGAAGGTGACCAGGTTCTGCAGCATGCCCACGGTCTTGTAGAAGGGGCAGAACCTGGTGGGATGGAATTTTGGGGGGTCAGCAGGGAGTTCGGGGGGGTCAGGATGGAATTGGGGGTCCCCGGGGGGGTCCCGGGGGTCCCGGTACCGGTCGTAGGCCGAGTATCCGTTCTGCTGCAGGAAATCGTCCTTGAGCAGCTTGGCCACCTCCAGCGTCACTTTGTCACCCTCGGCCAGCGACGCCTGCGGGACAGCGGAGATCCGACTGATCCCGGAGATCCCGGAGATCCCGGAGATCCCAGAGATCCCACTGATCCCACTGATCCCACTGATCCCACTGATCCCAGAGATCCCAGAGATCCCAGAGATCCCACTGATCCCAGAGATCCCACTGATCCCAGAGATCCCGGAGATCCCACTGATCCCACTGATCCCGGAGATCCCACTGATCCCAGACATCCCAGTGATCCCACTAATCCCACTGATCCCGGAGATCCCAGAGATCCCACTGATCCCAGAGATCCCGGAGATCCCAGAGATCCCACTGATCCCACAGATCCACCTTCCCCATCCACCCAAACCCCACAAACCCCAAAAATCCCAAATCTTCCCCACGAGCTGCACGATCCCGGCCAGCTCCTCCTCCTGCAGGGTCCCACATCCCACATCCCACATCCCGTATCCCACATCCCGTATCCCATATCCCACATCCCGTATCCCACATCCCGTATCCCATATCCCACATCCCGTATCCCACATCCCAAATTCCACACCCCAGACCCCACAAACCCCACACACCCCATAAATCCCATAAATCCCATAAATCCCATAAATCCCATAAATCCCATAAATCCCGGACCTTGCCCACGAGCTGCACGATCTCGGCCAGCTCCTCCTCCTCCTGCAGGGTCCCAGATCTCACATCCCACATCCCAGATCTCACATCCCACATCCCAGATCTCACATCCCACAGCTTACAGACCCCACAAACCCCACACACCCCACACCCCAGACCCCACAGACCCCACAAACCCCAATCCCGGACCTTGCCCACGAGCTGCACGATCTCGGCCAGCTCCTCCTCCTCCTGCAGGATGCGCCGGGCGCGGTCGCGCAGCGCGGGCAGCTCGGGGTGGGCGCGCTCGTAGTGCGGCTCCAGGGCGCGCAGGTAGCGCGAGTAGGAGATCAGCCAGTTCACCGAGGGGAAGTGCTTGCGCTGCGCCAGCTTCTTGTCCAGCCCCCAGAACACCTGCGGGTGGCACCCGGTGTCACCCATGTCACCCTCAGTGTCACCCATCCTGTCCCTGAGATCCTTATCCCCATGGGACACCCACCAGTGTCACTCCAAGGTCAAGCCCAGATCACCCAGTGTCTCTCTGTGTGTCCCTGTGCTTCTTGTCCAGCCCCCAGAACACCTGCGGGTGGCACCCGTGTCACCCGGTGTCACCCAGTGTCACCTATGTCACCCCCAGTGTCACCCATCCCATCCCTGAGACCCTTATCCCCATGGGACACCCACCAGTGTCACCCCCAGGTCACCCCTGGGTCACCCAACGTCTCTTGTCCAACCCCCAGAACACATGGGTGTCACCCTCAGTGTCACCCTCAGTGTCACCCATGTCACCCATCCTGTCCCCTCTGTCCCGCTGTCCCGCCGTCCCCTGTCTGTCTGTCCCTCACCTGCACGATCCCCAGCGTGGCCGAGGTGACAGGGTCCGAGAAGTCCCCACCGGGGGGGGACACCCTGGGGGGGGTCAGGGTGAGCTCGGGGTGTCCCCCACCCTTGTCCCCTCCCTGTCCCCACCTGGGGACACGGGGACACAGTGACACGGGGTCACAGTGACACGGGGACAGGGTGACATGGGGACACAGTGACACGGGAACATGGTGACAGTGACACGGGGACATGGGACATGGGACACGGGGACAGGGTGACACAGTGACACAGTGACATGGTGACATGGTGACACGGGGACACAGTGACAGTGACACAGGGACAGGGTGACACGGGAACACGGTGACACGGTGACACGGGGACATGGGACACGGGACACAGGGACATGGTGACACAGTGACACGGTGACACGGTAACACGGTGACATGGTGACATGGGGACACGGGACACGGTGACAGTGACACAGTGACACGGGGACATGGGGACACAAGGACACAGGACACGGTGACACGGTGACAGTGACACGGCGACAAAATGACACAGTGACACAGGGACACAGTCACAGTGACACAGTGACACGGTGACGGTGACACGGTGACACGGTGACACAGTGACAGTGACACAATGACACAGGGACATGGGACATGGGACACAGTGACAGTGACACGGTGACAGTGACACAGTGACGGTGACACGGTAACATGGTGACACAATGACACAGTGACATGGTGACACAGTGACGGTGACAGTGACACGGTGACATGGTGACATGGTGACACTGTGACGGTGACACGGTGATGGTGACATGGTGACGGTGACACTGTGACGGTGACATGGTGATGGTGACATGGTGACACGGTGACACAGTGACGGTGACAGTGACATGGTGACAGTGACACAGTGACGGTGACACGGTGATGGTGACACAATGACGGTGGCACAGTGACACGGTGACATGGTGACACAGTGACAGTGACACGGTGACAGTGACACAGTGACACGGTGACACAGTGACGGTGACACAGTGACATGGTGACGGTGACACAGTGACACGGTGACGGTGACGGTGACACGGTGACGGTGACACTCACGCCCCCACGATGCTGACGCTGCCCTCCCGCTCGGGGCTGCCGAGGCACCGCGCCCGCCCCGCGCGCTCGTAGAACGAGGCCAGGCGGGCCCCGAGGTACGCGGGGTACCCGCTGTCTGTGGGGACACGGCTGTCACCTCAGTGTCACCCCCTGTCACCCCCTGTCACCCCCTGTCACCCCCTGTCACCCCCCTGTCACCCCCGGTACCCGCTGTCTGCGGGGACACGGCTGTCACCCCCTGTCACCCCCTGTCACCCCCTGTCACCTCCTGGGACACCACTGCCACCCCCAGTACCCGCTGTCTGCGGGGACACGGCTGTCACCTCAGTGTCACCCCCTGTCACCCCCTGTCACCCCCCT